GCCATCTAGAGAGCTCTTTCATGAGCAAGACAAGAGTTGACGGGTTTTACCATGGTGGCTAGACGAGCTTGCTCCAGCGAGTTCACAGGTTTCACCAGGGCGGAACTTGTTAACCGGAACTAGTGAAGCAGTGAAGGTACAAAATGCCCCCCGTCGCCGAACAGCGCCAACAGTTGCTGGCACGCGCCATGCATTTGCTTTACAGAATGACAACGGCTTTCTGAAGCAGCACCGAATTGGTCGGTGGTGGAGGGGAATGGGGAGGGAGATCGAGTGAGGAGGGATTTGCCGTCGTAAGTAGTAGTTACATGAAAATGCAATTAGGGGATCTTAATGAGCATGGGGTAATTGTGACATCCATCAAGGGGTATAATGCGCAAAAGTATGAGGAATACGGGTAAATTGGGGCTAGTCACCAACTCCCAGCGGGAAGGGCTGTACATTCGCAATCTATTAAGGACCATAGAGACCTTTGGCTGCTTTGACAGCGCTATGGCGACCGCTGCACGTCCTGCCGTTCTGGCATTCATCGCGAAATACGACCCCCTCCCACTTCTTTTCCCGTACCCCATGCTGCCAACTTTCTGAATTTTCCCACCACTTCCTGCTAATATTTTTCAAAAAATTCTCTATTTTTATTCCTCACTTTTTTTCACAGAGAGTTAGTCGAGCTAAAGGATATTTAGCCCCGCACTTTAAACCTGGAGACGAGCGAAAAGTCAACGACTACTCCTTCCCTTGAACGACCGACATGGGCGATCTCCCCTCATAGGGAACCAATGTGGTACCACGTGCTGAGGTGACCGAGTTGGTGTGGTGGACAAGGTTGTTCTTTCATACAGATGCGCGTCCGGAACTCGATTCCCGTTGGCAGCCCTCTTCTGATCCGCCAGGTCTTCATAGTTTGCGGTCACTAATTGGGTACAGGAGTCCCCTGGGAGGGTATAGTGGGTATATTTTCATTATTATTGAACGATTTACCACCACGTATCAGCAGTTATCACCGGGTACCGTATTCTATGTAGTGTGCTTATTCTTCTGCTATTTCTTGCTTTGCAGATATTGCAAATTAGAGTGAAATTATGTTCGCGTCGCTTTGTTCACAGGAAGAGCCACTGCGAAAAAAAGCGCCCACGGCAAAACAACTAGGGCGGAGGGAAGCTCTGTTGTCAGAAGACATTTAAAAATCTCAGCCTTACGACGACGAAAACATGCCTTCGAATGGCGCATTGAATGCGAATCTCTCCAGAGTACACGACTGTGTGGGAGTTGTCGGACGAGGACGTTGAGCGGCCGGATTGCTGTATTCCCTCGCAAGAGCTGATGTTCGGATCCTACAAAAGTAGAATGAGTCGGCTTATAGAAGAAGTCGGGAGCAAAGTTCCTGCCATTGTGGAACTGACCTTCGGAGGTGGGGAGCGGATGTACCTAACTTCCCTATACTCCATTTTGCAAGGGTCCTTCGTTGTGGTGGCTCCTTCGGACGGACCTGCTCCAGTTTTCGATGTAACTGCGGCTTTTAGTTCCTACAGCCTCATAAGAAAAGATGGAGTGAGCAATAGTTCCCCTCCATCGCCTCACTCTTTGAAATACAGGCCAGATTTTAGCCAAAGGGTCCTTCATATGGCCAGCTCCTTGGCAGACCTGCTCGGGTCTTCGATGTAACTGTCTACGGTATTTTAACTTGGAGTTGTTTCCCAGGGTAATTCGCCCCTAAACAGGACTATGACAGCCGCCCTAAGTGAAACTGTCTGACGAGCACCATCTACACGAACCCTTTTGGCGACGGCGCCAGTAGTGCGCGTACCAGGCGTTTTCACACGACGCCGCTTTGGTATTCAAGTTTTGGATGTCAAAGTATCCTTGCAAACAAGCTTTCGGATAAATTTGGCGACTCCAGGCGTCTGTGACGCCTATGGTGCGGGCGCCAGGCGGTTTGGAGCCAGGGTGGACGTGGTGTTCGTATTAGAAACACGCGATCCCCCAGGTCCTCCTCTTCGGATGCGGCTCCCTTCCCCCACCTCCCCGTTCCCCATTCCTCATCCTGCACACCACTTTTCTAATCTCCCAGATTTCCCCGAATTTCCACCATAATTTCCGAAATTGCCCAGAAATTTTCCTGCTTTTCCCCAAAATTTTGCCGGCGAGCATGGGTATATAGCCCATGTGAAAGGGGAACCGCAAAACCCGCAGAAATCAACAGCCTCAAAAAATCCTTTCAATGCATCACGTATCTCTCAGAGGCAAATACGACCCTCTTCTGCCAACAACGAGCAAAAACGACCCCTCCCCCTTAGAAATTCCCCCGAGATGTGGATAGCGCCCGTGAAACAAGAAAAATCAGCCGTAAAAAATTTTTCTCAAACCAAGTACGACCTCCTCCCCCAGCGACCAGATACGACCCCCGCTGGGACTCCAAAACGATCCTCCCGGGATTTCTCAGGTTCCTGTTCACTGGCCAGACTAATTCCGGTGACCCAGCCCTACCCCGACCTACCCACAGGTGAAAAATCGATCAAAATCTGGCCGGAATTCCAAATAGTGGGCCCGTAAATGGTAAATAGTGCCTGGAATTTTATACAAGACTTCTAAGGAGATAAGAAGAGACAATCGTACCTGAACGTGTCTAGCAAAAGCTGAAGGCGGTGCAGGTTTTTCGAACTGAACTGAAATCGACATTGAGTGAGAATAGCAAAATCGGTATTGTCAAAAGGGGTACGAGCTAGGGCGGGGCGCGGTTGAGAAATCAACAGGGGGGTCGTAAATTGGGGGTTGAATTGCCAAAGACACCAGCATTGATGTCTCACCGAATAGAGAGGTA